TACTACTACTACCACCACTACCACCCCATGATTACTATCGTTAATCTGGTACTACCGCGCTTCAGTAGCTTGAGTTCTTGTTATCTCTCAGGGGTTGCTGCGGAGCTTAAATGACAGGAAAGCAATAGTAATAATTCTGGTAATAATAAGAAGAAGAATATGAATATGAATAAGAAAAAGTGATTTCAATAGTAGTTATAACAATCAGAATAAGAATACTCGTAATACGAGTAAGAATAATAGTAACAATAGTAATCATAGTACTGGATATTACCAGCATTCTTGCTATTATCATCATTGTTATCTGATGCTATTGCTATTATCCTGAATCGTCGTGCGGAATCCCATGCAGAGCCCTCTTTGAAACAGCAGCAGGTCTTTGTGGGCCTGACATGGGCTTCCATTTTTGGCAAGTGACTGGATGGAGCACGAACTCCCAGTGGTCTGGACCCGAGTGGCCACCATTTTGCCACATGAAGCTGTTGATAGCCACATCAATATCGACCAGGGTCCAGTCAAACCATTCCTGTTCGGCAGCAGACTTCACAGCTGGAGCGCCAAATAGGGGCCCAACAAAAGATGACTTGTCACGTGTAGCAGTGTAGCAGCTACCGCAATCCCAACAAAGTGATACGTGAGCCCAGTGGCAAGTCCATGCTTCCAACTGAGGTCCAGATACTCGATGAGGGTCTGCGCTACCACCTGCAGATTTGCAGAGACGCGCTCGCGCCACACACCCCGAACCCAAAGCTAGCCCCCAACGGTGCTCTTGCACGAAGAAAATTGAAGGATGAGCTCCACACTACAAGCAGATGCTGCAAAGAATCCCCTGTGAGCCATGCGAATCCAACCGTTGAAAGTGCCACCCAGCAGCGTGGCGCAAGTAGTTTGGCATCCAACCAACGGCCCAGAGCTGCCGCATTGCCGCATCAACCAAGGGAAAGCCCGTGGAACCTGCACCGCACGAGTTGCAACTTTATCCAAGAAAACGGACGCTATTCTATACTCAGCATGTTGATCAGATGCTGCGCTGGCATACAGGCCACCACGATAACAACATGTAGCAACCGCCTTTTTCGTCCAAAGAGCAAGTGCTCTCCTCTAACTCAAGTCAGTGCAGCAGCACGCCGTGGCGTGCTACTCTTCGACGCCGCCTCACTTACATCCTTCACACGCTCACATGCTCGAGAGCACGGTCTTGGCCTGCACGAGGTTCTCCTTCTCTTCGGCCCGGGCCTGGGCGCGGAGTTCAAAGTGCTCCAGGAGCCAGTCGCACTCCTGGTGCAGGTTGCTGACCACCTCCTTGATGACCGAGGCCTCCTTCTTCTTGTTGGAGAGCTCGCTCTTATCATCGCTGAGGTCTGTCTCCAGATCCGCCTTGGTCTTAGCCTTATCCTGGATCAGAGCCACATCCGCGTCGCGCTTCTCAGCGGCATCAGCCAAGGTCTTCTCGTAGTCCTTCTGGGAGTTGGCCTCATCAGACTTAGCCAGGGCCATCTCCTGTTCGATGTCCGCCTTCAGCTGGGCAATCATGGAGAAGACGCCATTGCTCTCCGACATCTTGGACTGGTAGCCACCCACAAAAGTGGGAGGAGGGGCCTCCATCTTGTGGCTGGATGCCTGCAGGAAGGCATAGGGGTCAAAGGGGTTCTTGGTGGTGGTGTCCACGAACCTTGGGCCACCGTGAGAGAAAATGGCAAAATTATCTGCTTCAATCCTGATGATGCTATACTCCCCTCCCCCTAACATAAACGCCCTTACCCCCAATATAGAACCATCATGTCTGGGAAATATCTATCCTCAGGGGGTGGGGAGGCTCGTTCTTAGGGGAAGGGGATTATAGTCACAGTCCCCCTTAAGCGGGTAGAATATGGCTTTGGGTATATTATACTAAGATCCCCATAGACCCCATATTCTATCTTTTCTTCAACAAATCGACCCATGAGCTGGCTAGGATTGTAGAACTAAACCCTAAACCCTAAACCCTATACTCTATCTACTTAAGGGGGACTATAGATTGAAAAATCGACCCAGGAGCTGGCTAGGGTTGTAGAACTGGTTCAGCTTATTCTTTGCCAGGTCCAGCAGCTGGACGGCCTGGCTGTTGGAGGCAATGAGCTCCTTGGCCAGCCAGATATCCAGACTTGATTGGAGGTTTTGGGGGGTTTAGGGTTTTTGGTGGTTTGGGGTTTAGGGGGGATTAGGGTTTTGGAGGTTTGGAGGTTTAGGGTTTGGGTGGTTTTGGGCTTTTGGGGTTGAGGGTTTAGGATTTGGCGGGGTTAGGGTTTCAGGATTTTGGTGTTTAGGGCTTAGAAATCTAGAATGTAGAGACAACCCCCAAAACCTTTAACAGAAAATGTGCACCCTAGAATGTTGAATGGCTTAGAGGAGGTAATGGGGAGGTACTTCTGCGAAGGGAATGCGTAGAAAGCCCCATAACAAGACCGAGCACAACCCTAAGCCCTAAATCCTTAAACCTTAAACCCCAAACCCTAAACCTTGAACCCTAAACCCTAAAATCTTAAATCCTAAACCCTAAGCCCTATATCTCAGCCCGGCCTGGAAGTCCTGATGCTCGGCTTTGCGATTCTCGCCGGCAGCGGCCACGGACTTGTCAAGCTCTCCGAGTCCTGCCTGCAGAGAGGTCACCTCCGTGGCCAGCTGCGCAATGGCGCCCTTGGACTGCTCCACCTGGGTTGCTGTTAAGGAACTTTTAGTAGGTAACCATAATATGGGTACATAGTAACTACTGGGGTATCCTTATGTACATAGTAACTATTCTTCCTAAATAAAGTAATTGGGATTAAATTCCTTAACAGCGACCCAGCCACGGTGGTGCTGAGGGACGTGATGGCAGAGCCCACAGACTTGCCCTTCAGCTCGGCCTCGTGGAACTCCTTGCCGCAGTAGTCCTTCTTGCTCACGTCATCCTTCTGCTCGGTCTTTAGGAGCTCAACCATGCTGTCAATCTTCTTCACGATCTTGCTGAAGTCCACCTTGCGGCCGGAGAGTGCGAGCGCCAGGAAGTTCAGCTCCGGGTGAGCCTCGCCCTTGGCCTTAAGCACCAATTCCAGGGCGCGGTCCTTCTTGCCCTTGACATCCTTATCCACCTGGAGGAGGCTTGAGGCCTTTTTGCGGAAGAGGTCCAAAGACTTATCAGAGTCCAGGATCTTCACCGTCTCCTGGAGGGCCATCAGCTCCTTTCGTCGGTTCTCCTGGCGTTCCTCCCAGGCGGCTGCCTTGGCAGGTTGCTTGCACTTGCAGATTTCTATAGGTTATGGTCTACAAGTGTTGCGTAGGATTCTTACATTGCGGTAAGGGCCCTGATTCTTTGGAGGGGCACGTTCTCTAGTTTATTGGGCACATCTGAGGCGCAGTTTTTGACGGACGCCTAACACTCCAGACAGTGTTGCTTGAGTTTCTCGATGGCGTGGCTCAATTTAGTGGCTGGCACCATGCGCGTTTTACCTGTTATTGGAAGGTACTAGAAACATCCACCCTTGACATTGAGACAATGCCCAAGCCTGCGCACCCTAAACTTCATGTACCCTCAAACCTGGCCCAATGCAACCCAAACCCCGATAACACGCAAGGTCACAAAGCAATGGCAAGGACAGGGAACAAAATGAACTTTCGCATGACAATTCTGAAACGATCTCAAATCGCAACCCTGGAATCTCCTGCAGATCCCCATACTGTATAGGGTTTTGATAGGGTTTCTATAGGCCCCTTGTTTAGAACCCCACCCATAAAATATCTAAATGGAGGAGGGTTTTTTTATTGGTGGTAGGACTCAGCAGGGTTTGATTGTATTCTTCAGATGAGCTACTCTAATCACCAAGAGTAGCATACGACCTTACTCTAGAATGTGGATGATAGAGCCCACCAAAATCCCAAACCAGTCCCTGAAGACTACATATTCCTATAACATTTTAAAAAGGACTTCGGAGAACCCTTATCTCGGAGAAGCCGCCAATGGTAGCTTCCATAAACAGGAGGCTCAATGTAGACACCAAACTACTGCAATCCTAATCCCGGGTGACACCAAAACGGGACCCCCAACTTTTGGAAACCCACAACACTAACAAACCATTATATAATCCCAGTTTCCATTTCATGTTTAAAATCTTGTGCTCAGTTTGATTCCCCATGCTCGGAGTACTCTCCCCAGACCCTGGGCCCTAAACCTCAATTTCATTCCTCGTTTTCTATTCCATTTTTCTGGTAAAATCCCTATGATGGAATTTCAAGGTAACCCCCATACATAATAGTTTCCATTTCATGCTAGAATAGCTTTTCCGTTTGGTTTTCCTCTAGCCCGTAACCCTAGAAAATCTCCGTACAGCACCTATATAACCCCTGTGTGATGCCCATATGAGCTACAGTCAGCATTTCTTACATATTTCAATGGACATGGTTTCCTCATAGAATTCTACTTTGGGACCTACAAGAGGGACTCCTATGTCCACTGCTGAGGGTCGCTTAGCAGGCCTATATTGACAGCGGCTCATATACACATCCCTTTAAGCCCTACATAATCACACTTTGTCATTTCATGTTCCATATTCTTTTCCATCTGGTTCTCCTCAATTGAGGGATAAGGAAAATCCCATATAGTCCTATATACCCCCTTCATAACCCTAAACCCCAAACCCTAAACCCTAAACCCTAAAACCCTACAACCCTACAACCCTAAAACCCTAAACCCTAAACCCTAAAACCCTACACCCCTAAAACCCTAAAACCCTACCCGCTGCCCCTATATGAGCCACTTGCTAAACTCCTGGCATCCCCCTTAA